TTTACCCGGGGCCGACTTTTATATGCTGAATAATTTCGATGGTCCTGGTGTCGGAAAGCGGTTCCCGGAGGCCGAAACTGACGAACAACTGGCCGTCACTATTCGTTGCCGCGCCTGGATCTGAGGGTACGTTTCTTGTCCTAGACGTCCGCCGATCTGATTATGGTTCTTTGCAACTGCTTCCACGTTTTTTTTTTGTTCGTCCTAGATTTAAGTCGGGCGTGTCCCCCTACAGGGGGAGATTCGACGACAAATTAAAAATACAAAAAAATACCCCCGAATGGTCAACAACTGCAAAAAAATAGTCCCCAGACTATATTTGGACTATTTGTTTTGACTATTTTTGGGGGTATCTTTTACTTTTCGTCGAAAATCCCCCTGTAAGGGGGACAGGCCCGACGTCATCCCAGATCCGCTTCTGGTGGCCCCCGGGGCCCGAACACGGGCACGGGGTGCCGCAGGCGAGGGGAAGCCGCCCGCAGGGAGCGACACCGCATCCCCCGTGGCCTGGGCTCTCCGCTCCCCGGGGTGCGCTCTGGCTGCAGTCTCGTGTGGCCATCGCTCGGCCGTCCATTTCCTGTGCTTTTTTCGGTTTCGTGCGTGGTCTTTTCGCGAAGTGATCAAGGATGCTCCTCGATGGTCCTCGCCGAAGGAAAAATGCACACGTCCGAGCGATGCCAAGTCGTGGCGAAGCTGGCCGTGGCGGCGAGAGCCTGCCAGGGGGTGAACATTGGAGGCCACTTGAAGCGCTTCTGGAGCGCTTCCGAAGCGCTCTTGGGAGCCTGCTGGGACCTGCCCGGGACCTTGCCGGGACCTTGCCAGGACCCCCAGGGGGCGGAACCGGTCAGTTAGCGGTTTCAGCGTATCCCCACCTTCCTCTCTCCTTCACTTTCGCGCTCGGCCCAGGTGTGGGGGAAGAATCCGCGCGGTCCGAATCCTCAGGCCGCCAATCCTTATTCGAAGATGCTGAGGGGTCTGAGCTTAGTCTCCTGCAGCTACGGAGTGATGGACTCCAAGGTGACTTCATCCCTGGAACAAAATATTTTTCTGATCCTCCTCCTCGTCCTCCTCGGCGAGAGATGTTCCGTGACACAGCCAGTCTGGATCACTCTGGGCATTCTTCACCTTGCTTGGCTGCGATGATTTGTTGGGGGAACAACACAGGCACGTTTTTGTTCAGAGCCCGAGCAATGAACATGCATCTCTTGGGCTCGCATCTTTTACTTTAGCGGGCTCGGGGGTCAACTGACCCAGGTCAATCCAGACCCGGGTCAGCCGGTCCTTGCAAGATCCTGCGCCCAATCCTGGGTCAGGTCAATGCGACTCTGGCTCTGCAAGATCCTGCAAGATCCAGCGCTCTGACTGACCCCCGTTTGCATAAGCCCCCATCTACGGGCTTCCGCCGGCCTTCCGCCAGCATGAACCGCCGCCGTGTTGCTTCCGCCGCCCTCCGCCGAGGAAGAGAGATGGCAGCTTCTCGATCCCTCGACGAGACCAGACCTTTTCTGGAATGCCTCACGTTTTTTGTCTTTTTCCGGATCCCGAGCAAACCTTCGTGCCGCGGAGGAGGAGGAGGAGGAGGAGGAGGAGGAGGAGGAGGAGGAGGAGGCAAACAAAACGCCTTTGTGCCGCCCAGCTCGAAAGCGGCGTAGCCGTCGGCGTCGCAGCCCCCCGGGGCGCCGACGCTGCAGCGGACGGCGCGCGGTTCGTGGACGCGGCGGCCGTCGAGGCGGAAGCCCTCGGGCGTGATGTGCTCCTGTCGAGGGCGCGCAGCATCGGGGAGACGTAAGAGACTCCTCCTCCTCCTCCTCCTCCTCCTTCTCCCATTCCTCCTCCTCCTCCTCCTCCTCCTCCTCCTCCTCCTCCTCCCCCTCTTCCTACTCCTACTCCTCCTCCTCCTCCTCCTCCTCCTCCCCCTCTTCCTCCTCCTCCTCCTCCTCCTCCTCCTCCTCCTCGTCCTCCTCCTCCTCCTGGCGAACAGGGTCGGCGGCACCTTCTGGGAAACCTTCGCAGTCGGGGCGGGCTCGGAGGACTTTCTAGCTGGGCGGCAGCGGGCGGAGCCGCGACCCACGCCCCAAGGGGGCGGCCACGAGGCGGTCACGAGCCAGCCACGGGCGGCCACGCGGGGAAACTTCGGCCCACCCCCCAAGTGTCGGCGGCGCGCGCAAAACGGGTACTGGCCATCGCTCGGACGTCCATTCCCTGTGTTTTTTTTCGGTTTCGTGCGTGGTTTTCTCTCCAAATGATCAAGGATGCTCCTCGATGGTCCTCGCCGAAGGAAACATGCACACGTCCGAGCGATGCCAAGAGTATGGGGGAGGGGGGGAAGCTTCTCAAAAAGAGGCTGTCTCTCAGAAGGCGCCGGCCCCACATCTGCATCTACAGCTGTATCTACGTTTACATCTACGTCTATATCTACAGCTGCAACTGCAGCTACATCTACATCTACACGTACATCTACGTCTACATCTACATCTACGTCTACATCTACATGCACATCTACATCTACATCTAAATATACATCTACATCTACATCTACATCTACATCTACATCTACATCCACATCCACAACTACAGCTACATCTACACCTACATCTACATGTGCATATTCATGTTTGTGTGTATGCGTATGTATATGCATATATGCACATGCGCATGCGCATGCACATCTATGTACGTATGTGTGTATATATATATATATATATGTAAGCATTTATATGTGTCTGTCTGTCTGTCTGTCTGTCTGTCTGTCTGTCTGTCTGTCCGTCTGTCTATCTGCCTGCCTGCCTGCCTGCCTGCCTGCCTGCCTGCCTGTCTGACCGTAGGTAGCTAGGTCGGTAGGTAGGTCGGCAGGTAGGTCGGTAGGTACATATATAGGCCTCAGCACGCACCATGACCCTCCTTTCCTCTTGTAAGATGCCAAAAGGAAAAGGACGTTTAAGGTGCACGCGTCGACCGTGGAGGAGGAGGAGGAGGAGGCGGTTTCGCAGAAGGGGTAGGTGCTGTGTTGGAGAAGCAGGCAAGTGAGTACTGGGTGTTGTGATGGAGACGGAGGGAGCCAGTTGAGCACTGCGTTGGAGAACAAGGCTGTTGAGAACTGGGTGTGGTGTTGGAGACGGGGTGAAGTGAGTATAATATTGCTTCAAAGTTCGCCTTGGGAAAGGAGCCTGTTGAGTACCCGGTGCTGTGTTGGAGATCAAGGCCGTTGAATACTGGGTGTTGTGTTGGAGTCCGGGGGAAGTGAGTAGAAGGTCATTTTCAAGTTCATCTTTGGGAGGGAGCCTGTTGAGTATCGGGTGCTGTGTTTGAGCACAAGGCTGTTGAGTACTGCATGTGGTGTTGGTGACGGAGGGAGTTGAGCAGAAGGTTGTTTTCAAATCCATATTTGGGAGGGAGTCTGCCGAGTATCGGGTGCGATGTCGGAGAAAGAGGCCGTCGAGGACTGGTTATTGTCTTGGAAACGGAGGGGGGTGCGTAGAAGGTTATTTTCGAGTTAATCTTTGGGAAAGGGCCTGTTGAGTACCAGGTGCTGTGTTGGAGAACAAAGCTGTTGAGTACTGGATGTGGTGTTGAAGACGGAGGGAGTTGAGTAGACGGTTGTTTTCAAATCCATCTGGGGGGAGGGAGCCTGTTGAGTATCGGGTGCGATGTTGGAGAAGGAGGCCGATCAGTACTTGTCCTGAAGCGGACGGAGTTGAATATAAGGTAATTTTTGAGTTAATCTTGGGGAGGGGGCCTGTTCAGTACCAGGTGCTGTGTTGGAAAAGCAAGCTGTTCAGTACTGGGTGTTGTGTGGGAGACGGAAGGAGTTAGGAGGTTCCTTTCAAGTTCATCTTTGGGAGGGAGCCTGTTGAGTATCGGGCCCTGCGTTGGAGAAGAAGGCTGTTGAGCCCTGCTTGTTGTGTTGGAGACGGAGGGAGTTGAGTAGAAGGTTGTTTCCAACTTCATCTAGGGGAAAGGACCTGTTGAGCATCGGGCGCTGAACTGAAGAAAAAGGCTGTTGAGCGCTGGGTGTTGTGTTGGGGACGGATGGAATTGAGTAGCCGGGGAGGGAGCCTGTTGAACATTGGGTGCTGTGTTGGAGAAGGCTGTCGAGTACTGGGTGTGGTGTTGTAGACGGAGGGAGTTGAGTATAACGCTATTTTCAAATCCATCTTGGGGAGGTGGAAACGGCTGCACCTGCATGGGGCGAACATCGCTCCGAACTTGCGCCGAAAAACCCTCCCAAACACAAGCCTCAAAACAGAGTCCCGAAATCGTGGGCATCAGATGTACATTCATAAAGAATCTGGACAACAGAGGGGTTCATGGTGCGTGCGGAGGCCTAAGTATGTGGATAGTATATGTATATGTGTATGCATTTGTATATGTATATGTATATGGTTATATGTCTACACACGCACACACACATATATATATATATATATACACACATCTAGATTCAAACTTTTTGTATCTTATTACCCCAACCCCCAACCTTTTAAACAGGACCCCCCCCCAAGGACGTCCCAGACGCCCTCTCGGACGTCCCGGCGGCCCCCTGGACTCCTTTGGAAAAGGTCCGCTGGCCCTTCGGGGCCTCCCAGGGCGCCGGGCCTTGCGAGCAGACTCCAGACGACCGGAAGGGTCATCGGAGAGGCGCAAGAGAGACCCAACACAACAAAAGAGCGCTCTGAGAGGAACCTCGATGGTCTGAAAACGGCCCAAAAGATCCCCAAGACGCCCCCAAGACGCTGTTAAAAGAGGCCCGGAAAAGCAAACATCGCAACTCTCCTTCAGGAACCTACATATTATATATATATATATGTACAGAGATGCATATGTATGTATGTATATATATATATATATATATACAATTTTAGCATCTCCGCTGTTTGGGTCTTCGCAGCGACCAAGACGGCCCGATGGGCCCCCGATATCGCCCCAAGAGGCCCCCCAGAGGGCTTGAAGACGGCCCAAGAGGGCGGCAAAACGGCCCCAGAGAGCCCCGAGACTGCCCACAAAAAACCCAAGATGCCCCCAGAAGGTTCCCAAACAGAGACCCACGAAAGCCATGGGAAACCCCCAAGAAGGCCGCTGGAGGCGCCCAAGTGGGTCCTAGATGGCTTCAGAAGACCTCTGGAGGGCACCAGCTCCCCAACACGGCCCAAAAAGGCCCCAGGACGGCCCACGAGGGCCCCAGGACGGCCTGAAAGAAAAACCGAAACGCCCAGACGGCTTTCTCCTGCGAAGTACATCGAGATGACACGACGATCTTGGTTCCACGCTCGAGGCTCGAGGTTTAAGTTCTTCGATCGAGAGAGACAGGCAATGGATCTAGATTCGAAGTTCGACGATCGAAGATTTCCCTAGTGCCTGGGGCCCTCCAGGCGTTCAGGAAGTGACCAGATATCGATCTGTCCGGAGCTTCTGCGGCGTTTGGCGTGTCGTGGGGGCTCTCCTTACTTCCTCAAACGACCTTCGCGCGTGACAAAAACAGCATTCCTTCCCCACTCCAGCGCGCAAGCGTGCAAGCGCATCGGGCGAACGCAGTGTCAGCACGCACCAGGGATATCAGAAAAATGAGCTGGTCGCCCGTCCAGGCCTCGAGGTCCCCCCTGCTGAAGCAAACGATGATTTATTGCGTTGCCGGGGAAGCATCCGGAACAAAGCGCATGGCGCGAAGCGCCAATGCAGTCTTATGTTTATGTATATGTATGTATGTATGCATGCGTGCATGCATGCATGGATTTATGCATGTATGTATGTATGTATGTATGTACGTACGTACATATGTATGTATGTATGTATGCATGCATGCATGCATGCATGTATGTATGTATGTATGTATGTATGTATGTATGTATGTATGTATGTATGTATGTACGTACGTACGTACGTACGTACGTATGTATGCATGCATGCATGCATGCATGCATGTATATATGTACGTAGGTGTGTATGTATGTGTGTGCATGTTTGTATGCATATATGTATGTATGTATCTATGTATCTTTCTACACACATATATATATATGTGTATAGAAGCCCCCCCCTACCATTGGCCCCCCTCTGCGCGTGGCTGAGGGGCGGTCACAAGCGCCCACGCGGCGAAACTTCGGCGGCAATCGGGGGGGGGCTGATTCACGAGGGAGCCAGGCTTCGCTGTCTCGGGGAAGCGGAAGACTCGGATTCGGGGGACTTGGGTTGGCATGGCGGGGCCGCCAAGAAAATGACGCGACCCAATCTGAAATTTGACGCATACGGGCAAGGAGGCTACCGCCCCTGCTCATCTCCGGACAACGCCAGGTTCTGGCAGGACGAGTCGGACGGCTCAGAAAAGGAGCAAGCACTCACCCGCCATGCGAGCAATCCCTAACTACCGCTACAATTCCGTCTTCGATAGGCTACACTACCACCCGCGGCGGTGCGGAAGCCGAGAGGCAGACGGGCCCTACCTGGGCGCCCGAGTTGCGGACCCTAGGGGAACCGGGCGAGGAGGCACCCTCGCGGCGCTCGTAGCTCACCACGAGCCGCGGGTGGGCCCGTGGAGGGACCTGCCCAGAGGCAGGGTGCGCGACCAAGCGATGTACCAAGGACTGGAGAACCTGGTACACTGCTGCTGGAACCACCACCCCCCCCGTCACCCCGGGCTTCAACCAGAGCCCCAATCACCGGGAGGCGAACCCAACCCACCCAGGGCCTCCCCCGAACGCGGTGCGCAGCCGGACCAGGGGCCCGACACTCCTGCTGCAACCGCCCCACGAAAACTTGGCAATAACAGGTCAGGACAGGCCCGTCAAAAAGCGTCGGCAACCCAGAGTTCTGGCGAACTCGAGTCTTACGTTTCCCCGACAAAACGGGGTGGCGCCGCCGTCGCAACTTCCTCGCTTCGGGCCTGCGAGCCGCGGACCCTGACCCAGGCCAGCGCGCCCGCTCCCGGCCGCTTTCGCCCCAGCCGCTTTCGCGGAACCAGGGCGGTATGATCGCGCTAGACCCCGACGCGCTGCAAGGTGGGAGAGGAAAGGGAAACGGCGTGCTCACGCCGAGGGGCATGGCATCCAGCCAACCTCTCTAGACTCCGGACAGGCAGCGCGGCGCCGCGGTGCGGGGGAGGAGGAGGAAGAGGAGGAGACGGACAAGGATGGGGACGACACGGTCTGTCGCCCCGCGCGCGCGAAGGCGGGCGGGCGCAGGCGCTCAGGACATCCGCCTGTCCTTGGCCGCGGTGTGCACCAGCTTGTGCTCGGCGTGGTCGGAGGAGACGCCCAATCTGCTTGTCCTCCGTGTAGTGGTAGTAGCTCAGGACGGCGGAGCGGACGGCGGCGGCCGTCGAGAGCTCCGAGTCCTCGTCATAAGCGTCGCCGGGGCCGAAAGCGAGCCCCTCCAGCATTGTACCGTGGAGGTGCTGGCTCGGCTGGGCCACCCAATGCAGGAGCCGCGGGCATTGCAAGTTGTGGTAGATCTCATCCTTGGCACCGCAGCCGTCCCAAACACAAGGAAGCCGCTGAGGAAACACATGTGTTCGACAACCCGTGTGCTATCCTCCCGCCAGTGTGCGGACCATGGCCCATCGCCAAGCAGGAGACACCTTCTGCAATACCACCTTCAGCGCTTGCCACTGTTGCGGGAGGTCAGCTGGCACCGCGTCAGCACTAAACCATGCCGCCAACATCTCCTCGATGGCGAAATGCAAACTGTCGGGGGGCCATCTCGCCTGCAGAGTACGTGCGGAAGTGCTCTCAGCGTGTGGCCGCCGACCCGTACTCATGGCAGCCGCCACCACAAGCAGGGCAGTGGTGGCGCTGGCTTCAGGATCATGCTGAGATCGGGCGGGCGCGTCGGACGGCCTGGCGCTGACGATCTGGAAGTTGCGCTGGGCGGTCGACTCCTGTGTGTGTGCCGGAACGGCGGGCTCCACCTGTTGGCTGCGAAGGCGGGCAGCCCGACGCTCTCAGTGGCCTGCTGCTCGAGCCTCTCGTAGGTGTCACGCAACGACGGGATGGTGAACTCGGCCATCCTCCAGATCAAGCCCGCAGCCATTGCCCTAACCGCGGTGGTGGGAAACCGGGTGTCCAAAGAGAAAACGCCCGACACCTCGAACGTCGAGGGCGAACGCCGAAGTACTTGTTGAAGAGCGTGAAACTCCTTCCTGGCGAGGTGCCTGGGCAGCAGGTAGAACCGCACGAGGTATGACAGCGCCGAAAATGCAGTCGGTGCCGTAGAGCTGAGCGTTGACGTCGACTGGGGCGGACGTCTGGCCCGTGAGTGCCGCACGGTGCCGCCACTCCTCCTTGGCTGCCGTCCACTGGGGCTCGGGTACCGCGCCGGGGCCCACCTGCGCCCCGAGGTCTATGATCCGGATGCCGCTCAACTGCGGGACCAGCGCGGAGATGAACGATTCAACCTCGGAGGTAGCCTGCTCGTCAAGGGCCTGCAACAGGGGGTGAGGAAGCTCTTCTTCGGCTGCAGCTGGAGGTTGCCCAACTCGTGTGCGCTGTCGAATACCGCGGCGACCTTGGGCAAGTTCTGGATATTGCGGTTGACGGCTCCCACGTCATCTGCTCAGGCTCCCACGGTGCCTTCTGTGTGTGAGGGTAGGACGTCGAAGATGGCTCGGAGTATGGGATCCACCGCCACTGCCCATGCTGAACCCGAAAGCGGGCATCCCTGAGCTACGTCACTGTCAATATCGGCGCCGATGGGCACCCCCCAGCAAGACCATGCCCTCGGCGCGGTCGTAGAGGCCGTGGGTTGCGTCGGTGAGGCCCTGCGATAAACCGGAGCGCAAGAGAACGCCAAACAGCAATTGCCTCCCCAGAGAGGGAAGGCAGCTGCGATGTCGAAAAGGAGGAGGAGGAGGAGGAGGAGGAGGAGGAGGAGGAGGAGGAGGAGGAGGAGGAGGAGGAGGAGGGGGAGGAGGAGAGGAGGGGAGGAGGAGGAGGAGGAGGAGGAGGATGAAGGATGAGGAGGGGAGGAAGGAGGAGGAGGAGGAGGAGGAGGAGGAGAGGATGAGGAGGATGAGGAGGAGGAGGAGGAGGAGGGATGATGGAGGAAGAGGAGGAGGAGGAGAGGAGGAGGGAAGGAGGGAGGAGGAGAGGAGGAAGGAGGAAGGAGGAGGGATGAGGAGGAGGAGGAGGAGGAGGAGGAGGAGGAGGAGGATGAGGAGGAGGAGGAGGAGGGAGGAGTAGGATGAGGACAGGAGGAGGAAGGAGGAGGAGGGAGGAGGAGGGGGAGGAGGGGGAGGGGAGGGAGGGAGGAGGAGGAGGAGAGCAGAGGAGGGAGAGGGAGGAGGAGGAGGAGGAGGAGAGGAGGGAGGAGGAGGAGTAGGAGAGAGAGGAAGGAGGAGGAGGAGGAGGAGGAGGAGGGAGGGAGGAGGAGGAGAGGAGGAAGGAGGAGGAGGAGGAGGAGGAGGAGGAGGAGGAGGAGGAGGAGGAGGAGGAGGAGGAGGAAGTTGGAGGGGAGAAGGCGGGAAAGCCGGCAACCAGGCAGGCAGGCAGGCAGGCAGGCAGGCAGGCAGGCAGGCAGGCAGGCAGGCAGGCGGCGGGGGACACGGTCGCGAGGTGCGAGCCACCAGCCCCGCAGTCGGCGGCCGCGGGGGCACGGCCGCGGGGTGGAGGCGGGAGGTTTGGGAGTCTCGGGCTCGAGGCTCGAGGTTTTCAGGCGTTTGCGACGGTTCTCGCTGGTTCGTCCAGCCTCGGGGCGCGTTCTGGCGGCTGCGCCTTGCCGAGGGCGTTCTGGGGGGACCCAGATAGCTCCGAACTGGCGCCCTGGACCGAGTAATACACCGAAAACCAAACGACGAGGATCTCTGAGGGGGCCAGCATTCTCAGAAGGCGGTGGAGCTTCTCCGAAGCCCTCCAGCCTTCCGAGAAGCCCTCTGTCTCCAGAAAAAGATTAGAGTAGTTCTTCTGAGAAGGCCCGCCCCTTCTACATTGCCCCCTGGGCGCGCCGCCGAAATACTCCAAATCTCCCACGTAGTGATGAACAAACACAAGGCGGACAGTTCGCATCATTTCTGGCCCCTGGGGGCCCTCGCTGGGCCTTGGGACCGTAAAAGAACGACTCAGGATGAGAACCGGCCATGGGCAACGGGTCGGGACTTCTGGAGCCCCGTGTTGAAAAGCTCAAGGCGTCGGACGTCCGCGACAGGGGGGCAGCTCTTCGGAGGAGGGGCAGTCGAGACAGCGGCGGCTCTCCTCGGCGTTGCCCGTCCCCTTGAGGCTTGTCGCCACGGCCGCACTCGCCTCGGCAAACGGGTCAGGGTGGACCCTGCTCCGAGTTCCGCTCTTGGCGCCCAGGCAACCACGGTACACTAGGCGGCAGGCAGCCACGCGCGAGCCCTGCCCCCGAGGGTCAGATCTCCGACTCACCAGCGGGGGCCCAGAATCTCAAGAGTGTCTGCAGCCAACGGAGCCCCGGCGCTGGTGTCCGACGCCACAGCGTCGGCAGAGGGAGGGCTTGCAAAGGGTCGCAGAGCTCCTGAACCGACATCGGGGCCGCGCGCGTCAGTCCAGGGGCGCCCCGGGCCCCTGGCTTGAGCCCAGGTGACTGCGGAACCATCTCACCAGAGGCTGTCGAACACAGTGAGTCAGATTTCTTTCTGCTTCCTCGGCCTCCGGAGACCTCCGCGGGCCCGAGACTCGAAAATCATCGAGTCCTCGGAGGCCTGGGGATGGAGGCGATGGAGGAGGCGATGGAGGAGGACGTGGAGGACGTGGAGGAGTATCGAATTGAGGAGGCGTTGGAGGAGGCGATGGAGGAGGACGTGGAGGACGTGGAGGAGTACCGAATCGAGGAGGCGGTGGAGGAGGACGTGGAGGACAGCGATCCTGAGGCTCGGGCGCGTCCCTCTTTGCACGGGGCCGTTCTGCTCCGGCCTCGAGCCCTGGGGCCTTCGAGGCCCGATCTGGCTCGAGAAGCGCCGCAGGCAGATGGGGCCGAGGCTCCGCTCAGGATTCCACACGACGTGGAGCTTTCTTGTCTTGTCGCGACGTCGGAAGTCAGAGTTGAAGCATCCTGGTCGGGTCGAAGGCGCCTGAAGTTCAGGGGCCCTGGGACACACAAACTCGCCGGCCCAACGGGCCAGAGGCGTGCTAAGATCTCGGGCGACTGGTTAACAATCTTTCTGGTTCGCGCGCGCGGGGCCGCCTCTGAGGGTCCCCGGACGAAAAATACACTGGCAAGGTCCCGGCAAGGTCCCGGGCAGGTCCCGGCCAGGTCTCGGCCGGGTCCTAGCAGGCTCCCAAGAGCGCTCCAGGAGCGCTCCCAGTGGCCAAGAGAGCTCAACATGGTCCGGGACGGTCCAAGAGCGATCCAAGACGCCAGAGATGGTCTCCAGACAACCTAAATCGCCTTCAAGACGCCCCAAGAAGCCTCCAAGAGACCTCCCAAGAGGCCCACAGAGGCAGAATTTCGTGATATTCCCTACGTTTTTGAAGGTTATTGGCGTTCTCGCCTTTTCGGCTTACCAACGCTCGAGGCTTCCAGGGTCGCCCCAACACCACCACTACCGTAGGTAGGAGAGGGGGGAGGAGGAGGAGGAGGAGGAGGAGGAGGAGGAGGAGGAGGAGGAGGAGGAGGAGGAGGAGGAGGAGGAGAGGAGGAGGAGGAGGAGGAGGAGGGAGAGGAGGAGGAGGAGGAGGAGGAGGAGGAGGAGGAGGAGGAGGAGGAGGACCTCCCCCTCCTCCCTCCTCCCCCGTCCTGCCTGTGGTGGCGGTGGTGGGCAGCTGGCAGATCACCACCTGGCCCTTGCGGGCCTCCTCTGGCGCCCCCGACGCCCGCGCGGCGCGCCGCGCCCGCTCCTCGCGGCCCTCGCCATGCCGACCTGCGCCCTTTCCCTGCGCGCCGTCCTACGCCGCTCCGTCGGCGCGGCCTACTCGCCGGCGCCGGCAGCGCGGCAGCGGAGCTCGGCGGGGGGCGCACGGCAGGAGGAGGGCGTCGACCATCGAGCAGGGGACCGTTTGCGGGATCGATGGACCCCAGCGTGGGCTTTCCGTCGACTCTACGGCACACGTGCCGGCAACGCTCCGCACAGATCCACGGACTAGTCTGCGCGTCTCTCCTCGTGGGCTCGACGAGAAACCCACCTCTGGTGTAAATCAACTCTGTCGCTGATCCCCTGCTCGAGCTGTACACCTGCAGTGCGCCTGGCCAGGCCAGGCCTGGGCCCGACAGGGCGGGCCAGGCCTGGACCGGTGCGGCGTGGAAGCGCCCCCCGGCGGGGGCGGGACCCAGACCTCCGACGGCCGCTGACGTCTTCAGTGTACAGGGCCCCTTGGAAGTCCCCGACCCCTTCCCCAGGGCTGGCTTCTCGTCCCGAGGCGTTTTTTGTTGTCGTGCGGGTCCCCCAGAAGTCCCCGACCCCTTCCCCAGGGCCGGCTTCTCGTCCCGAGGCGCTCGTTTTTATGTTTTTTGTTTTTGTTGTCGTGCGGGTCCCCCAGAAGCCCCCGTCGACCCCTTCCCCAGGGCCGGCTGCTCGTCCCGAGCTGTTCTCTTGATTTGTTGTGTGGTTTCTTTTTTTGTCGTGCGGGTCCCCAGAAGCCTGACCCTTTCCCCAGAGCCGGCTTCTCGTCCCGATCCGCATCTTTATTTATTCTCTTGCACAGCTGTGCTCTAGAGCTCGGACCTCTTTACTTTCGTTCGTTGTCGTCCCTCTGGTCCTGGCCCTGGACCCAACCTCCCCCCCTGGCCCTGGCCCCAGCCCCCCTCGCCCCGCTGGCCCTGGCCCTGGACCCAGCCTCCCCCCCCCGGCCCTGGCCCAAGTCCCCCTCGCCCTGGACCTCTTTATTTTCGTTCGTCGTCGTCCCTCTGGTCCTGGCCCTGGACCCAACCTCCCCCCCTGGCCCTGGCCCCAGCCCCCCTCGCCCCGCTGGCCCTGGCCCTGGACCCAGCCTCCCCCCCCCAGCCCTGGCTCCAGTCCCCCTCGCCACAGCTGTGCTCTAGAGCTCGGACCTCTTTACTTTCGTTCGTCGTCGTCGTTCGTTCGTTCGTCGTTCGTCCTCCCCCTTACGGCCACAAAAGTAAACTCCCGGAGAAGGGAGGCGAAAGCCTCCTGTCTCTGGCAGCTCCTTGGTGCAAGAGCCAGGGCACGCGTGCCACTTTTTTTTTTTTTTTTTTTTGTGTGCGTGTGTGTGTGTGTGTGTGTGTGTGTGTGTGTGTGGCGGCCCCCGGGCCTGGCGAGTGCCTCCCAGATGCCGACAAAAACGGTGCGGAGCCGTCGGCCTCCTCTTTCCCCTAGTGGCGTCTCGCTGAGAGGGCTCTCGGAGCGGTAGAGAACAAGACACCCGACGAGCCCCGCACGCGCAAGAGGGGCGGGGAGCCCTGGGACGCCCAGCCTGGCAGCCCTTCGCCTGAGACGTAGACGTTCTCCATTGACTCAGGAGCCCTGCTTGAAGGGGCCCTGGGACAGACAAATAAATACACACAAATAAAAATATATTCCCCATATTTTCTCATATTTTCAGGGTTTTCGTCTTCCCCCCACTGCCCATATTTTCCCATACTTTCCTGGGGATGGGCGATTTATTGTGTCTGTGTGTTTTTCCCCCCCTGACTGCTCTCGTCCCCAATCTGCCGGCCACACCCTGGCCCTGGACGGCCACGGCCCCTCTCTGTGCACACGCACACCACGGCGCGCAGGGGGCTGGGCCCCCGCCCCTGCCCCGGCCGTGCACCTCCTGCTGCTATCACGGTGCTCTGCCGGGCCAGCTCCTTCCCTTTGGATTCCCGAAATGGGCACGGAAAGAATGAGCACAATGCCCAACAACAAATGTTGTCCCAAACCAACAGCGGCCGCTGTTGGGCAGGCGGCCCTCTGTCTCAAATGGGCACAGGCCGCGGCGACACCGACAGCGAGTCCTGTTCAGCATGAACAGGAACTGCTGTTGGGCACTGTACCCATTCTTTCCGTGCCCATGTCGGGCGTCCAAATTCCCGGAGATCAGGACGCCGCGGGGGCGCAGCGCCCTCGCCCGGCGCGGCGCGGCGCGCCGGATCCCGGCGCTACTCGCCGGAGCGCGGGAGGCTCTCGGAGCGCGCGCGGCGCTCGGAGCCGCTCGGCGGCGAGCCGCCTCGTGCGGGGGGGGGCAGCCACGCGAAGAGGAGGGGCGGGGAGAGAGAGAGAGGGCGAGAGAGGAGAGCACGCAGCAGGTGGACCCTCCTGCCCGAGCAGCGGCGAATAGAGAGAGAGAGAGAGAGAGGGGACCGGGGGTCAGAGAGCGAGGACGGGCACGGGGGTGCCAGCGTCTTGCGGAGACAGGTCCTGGAGCCCATGGGGCGTTCCCCGGCACCGGCCGCGCATCCTGACCCGTTTGTCGACGCTCTCGGGGCCCCGGGAGGGCCCCGAAAAGAGGTTCAGCGCGGCATGAGTTCCTGGCGAGGGCGCTCTGACTGATAGTCGCCTCGTATGGAGCATGGGCTAGGCGAGTCCCGGGTTCATTTTTGACGCTTCCAGGGCCCCGGCTGGCCCCCGAAGAGGCCGGCGAGCCAACCCCAAGATCTATATGTCCTCCAGGGCAACCTGTCTTCCTTGCGAGAGGAGGGGGAGGAGGAGCAGGAGACCGAGGAGCAAGGGGGAGGATAGGTGGCCGCCAATTATATACACGGACACCGATCCCGGCCAGGCCGATCCTGGGCCCAGGACCAATGCGCACGCCCTCCCGGCTTGCCCAGGAGAGCATGCACACCGATCGTGGGCCCAGGACCGGCCTGGCCAGGCTCGTTGCAGGCGCGTGGGGCTGGCGCCCTCCGAGAACAGGAGAATGGCAGGAGGAAGGCGTGAGGGGGAACGTCGGGTGGCGGACTGGCTCAGGGGGAGGAACATCGAGCTGGAATCGGCCACACATCGCCGCCAGATCGGCCATGGCACGTCTCGTGGCTGGGCTGTCGAGCCCCTGTCGGCGACGACTGTGGGTGATCGGGGGGTCGGTGCATCCCCCTCCGAGCCTCTCACCCCCCCGGAACGCTGCCCGCCTCCGGCGTAGCCGGGGTTGGAGCCGAACGCGCCCTGCACGCCGTCCCTGACGAGGATCCGCCAGTCGATGGAGGCGTCCACGTTGGAGAAGACGATGCGCTGCACGCTCCGGAGCCAGACGTCGTGTTCCGTCGCCTCATGAGCATCGCTTCACCGATCCATGTTCCCACTGGTGTGGCCTCGGCACCACTGGCCGTCTCACTCTCCCGGGCGGGATTGTTTTTGCTTCTCTTTCCCCCCAGGGCAGCTGAAACCGACCTATTTCGTCTCAAATGGGTTAGTTTTCCTTTTGGAGGGCGACGAGGGAACGAGGGAGAGGAGGAGGAAGACGAGGCCGAGGGGGACGCAACGACGAGCCCAAAGCGCATATCGTATCGTGCTACCTAGGGAACGCCAAATAAGGAACGAAGGGGCTTCTCTGTCCATGGCGAGCCTAGGCCACGAATTTGTTCCCCGACCTGATCTGAGGACCAGCCCGCCCGCAAGCCGGAGCCCCTCCAGAGCCCAGGGTGGTCCTTCTATATCAGCGCCTCGCCTGTTCCCTGTGGCTTCGTGGGGCCTGTCGCCACCTGGGAGGCTGGCCTGGTGCGGGATGCCACGGTCCAGTGGGGATGAGGGTCCAGAGGAACGACAAACCGCATACACACAACAAATTTTGGAGGTCCGCGCGGATTTCTTGGACTTGCGCTGACCCTCTCCCTGGCGCGCGGAGCGCGCCAGGGGCGGCTCTGGAGGCGTGGCCAGGGGGGGCCCAGGCGCCGATCCGAGGAATCCGAAAGTAACTCCGAACGTTCGTGTTTATGCTGTTGCTTCTTCTCCGAGGGTCGATTCAACAATGCCGAGCCTTGTTCAGGGACTCCACCTCCTTCGGGTGTTGCGTAGAATGGGAGGGCGATGAATGGGGGGGACTAGAAACGTGCACCTTCTTTCGTGCCCCTTTTGGGCCCCAGGGCGCCCCCCTTTGGGAGCGCCCCGTTAGGGCACGAAAGGTGCACCTCTCGGGGAGTGCTAATTAGAAGTGCCCCTGGCCCAAGGTGCCCCCAACTTGTCGCTCAATTTTGGAGCCCCTGGGGATCTCTGGGCCTTGTGAGGGGTGCTGTGGAGGCCGTGGGGGGCCTCCTTGGAAATCCTGGGGGCACCCTGGGCCAGGCGCACTTCTAGCAGCACCCGAACCTTTCTTCACCCCTCCATTTGGCCCGTCCTGGAAATCCTCAACCCAAAAATGCAGTCTTCTCTTGGGGGCGCTTCCTGTACTTCCGCCAGCTTCCGCCGGCGGAATCGGCCTCGTTTTGCTCCTGCTGCTTCCGCCGCTCTTCTGCCTCGTGGAAGAGACGGCAACTCCTTCGATCCTCGAAGGCGAGGGCCTTTCTTTAACGCCGCATTCACCTGGCGGCGCGCACAAGGGGGCAATGTGGGAGGGGGCAAGGCTTCTTAGGAGGAGCCTGCTTCCGAGAAGGCGCCGGCCCTCCATCCACAGACAAGGCCCGCGCCTTCTGCGAAGCGGCCTCCTGCGAAGAAGCCCACCCCTGCCCCCCTGCCCCCCCCTCGGGTCTTGCCAGAAGAGCCCGCGGTCCAGGGCGCCCCCCAGATTCCCAAGGAGGCCCCAACCCAAGGCCTCCACTCGGGAGCGGCCGAGAGGGGGGTGTCCAAGAGGGGCAGGGTGCAAATCATGACCGGCGGCATGTGCGCGGCCCAGCGGGGGGGGCCAGGGACGCAATGACATGAGAAGAGGCGCCATGGAAGTCCCTCCCCAGTCATCCCCCCCCTCCTTGCCGCCCCCGACCAGCCCAGGGCCTCCACAGCACCCCTCTCACGAGGCCCGCGGGTGCCCCGGGGCCCCCCCCCCTGGAGTGGCGCGGCAGGCCGGGGGCCTGCCGTGGGCCAGGGGCCCTCCGCGCGTGGCCGCGCTCCGGCGCGTCCCCCCCCCCTTGCGCAGCTTTGCGTGACCCAAAAGGGGGTCCAGCTGAAGGGGGTGGTGCAATAGATTCGGGCGCCCTCTCGTTGCACCAAATCTGTTGCACCACCCCCTTGTTGCTGGACTCCCTTTTGGGTCAACCCGAGCAGCGCCCGGCTCCTCGAAGATGCCCAGCCTCCGGCAGTGCGCGTAGGGGTCGCCGGCGGCCAGCGCGTCGCCGCCCTGGGGCCCGCGGCAGTCCTGGACCTTGGAGATCGGGAAGCCCGCGAGGACCTTCTGCACGCCCAGCTCGCGGACGAGGTCCTCTAAAAAGGCAGCCCGCGTGGCGGGGATAGGCGCGGCGAGGATGCTTAAGTGCCTTGGCAGGCCCTGCGGGCCCTCTGCGGGCGGGGCGCGGCCAGCGGAGGCTGCCAAGGAGGGGCCGAAGGGGAAGGACGCACTGGCCATCGCTCGGACGTCCATTTCCTGTGTTTTTTTCGGTTTCGTGCGTGGTTTTTCGCCAATGATCGAGGATGCTCCTCGATGGTCCTCGCCGAAGGAAAAATGCACACGTCCGAGCGATGCCAAGCGCAAGGGCAACCCCGGAAAGTCGCTCACCCTAACGGTGCGGGCTGACTGTGCTCGGCCGCGAGCCCAGGGGGGAAGCCGGAAGGGGGCGGGCCTTCTCAGAGGGCCCGGCAGGCCTCCGGCCTGCTGCGGAGATGCCTGAGGAGGCCTGCCCCCTCGCGCTTCCCCCACGGGCGCGCCGCCGAGCTGCGCGCCGCCGAGCGCGGTCCGTTGGCCCCGTGCGGGCCTCCAGGCGTGCGAGAAAGCCCCCCCGAATCGAATGGCCCTCCCGCAGCACCCCGCACTTGCGGACGAGAGCGAGGGGGCGGGCGGGCGGGCCGCGCGGGTGGGCCGCGGCTGGGACGACGGCAAGAGCCAGAACGCAACGCAACGCAGCAGCAGCAAGACTCCGCAAAGCGGAATCACACTTCGACCACGCACCCGAGGACAACGAATGACCGCTCGGCCCCGTGACTCTGATACCCTCTTCCTCCTGCTCCTGCTCCTGCTCCTGCTCCTGCTGCTCCTCCTCCTCCTCCTCCTCCTCCTCCTCCTCCTCCTCCTCCTCCCTCCTCCTCCTCTCCACCTCCTCCTCCTCCTCCTCCCTCCTCCTCCTCCCCCCTCCTCCTCCTCCTCCTCCTCCTCCTCCTCCTCCTCCTCCTCCCCCTCCTCCTCCTCCTCCTCCTCCTCCTCCTCCTCCTCCTCGCCAGGGCGGCCTGATTCTTCAGAGCGGCCTCGGGGGATCGTCGGGCGGGCGAGAAGCCGCCCCTTCCGCTCCTCGGTCACCTCCCAGGGGGCGGCCTCCACCACGGCGCTCACGAGCGGGTGCTTCTTCAGGCGGCCCACGCGCTCCGCGAAGCACTCGGACGGGTAGGCGCCCATCGCGTCGCGCAGGCACTGGTCGCCGTGGACGCCGACGAGCAGGTAGTCGCCGCGGCTGCTTGCCTCGCGCAAGAAGTGCTGCTGAGCATCGTGCAGGAAAGACCACGCGCCGTCCACGTAGACGACGGAGCCCTCGTGGTCCCACGGGAACGAGTCGGCCTTGACGAGCTGCGTCTTCTGCCGCAGCTCGTTCTCCTCCTGCTTCCTCCAGGTCAGCTGCCTGCTCAGCGGCGCGCGCTTGTCGACTGGCCTGTCCAGAACAGCGGCGAACTTCTGCTTCAGAGCCATCATCATGGAATTGAACAGGATGGTTTTGTAGCTCAGGAGCCACACGCCTTGGTAGAGCCCTCTCACGCCGTCGGTCTCCACTATTCCCCGGAGGCTGGCCACGACTCCGTCGGAGCCCATCGTCTGTGCCACGGCCTTTGCGCGTATGAGGGGGTAGGTTACCAGCGTCGCTACGGCCTTGGAGATGCCGGACACCCAGAACATGTCCGACGCGGCCAGGCTCTCCTTGCCGCGCACTCGCAGCACGAGCGCCGACAGCTTGCCCACGAGGGTGAACATCATGGCGGGGTTCAGGGAGAGGAGCAGGGCCAGGCTGAGGCCCCTCCACAGGGTGGCTCTCCCGCCTGTGCGCGCAAGCCTGACGAACGTGTGAAAGAAGCCCCGCGAGTTCGGGTCGGCCTGGTTCACGTTTGCGACCACGTCGACGGGGGTAGTGAGGATGCGATTGAACTGCTGCGCGAACATGTTCACCAGCAGCGAGAGGCCAGTGCCCAGCTGTCGCCGGTCACCAGCGACGCCCTGAACGCGCGACAGGGCCGCCTGCACAAAGATGGTCTGCCATATGAAGAAGCCCACGTTGGATGTGACGGTCTGGATCAGCCGCCCGATCAGCCCCTGGTACAGGCCGGCGAAGCCCCTCTCGCTGAGGACGCCCCGCACGACCTGCCCGGCGCTGCCGCCGTGGACCTGCTGGACGGAAGAGCAAACGCCAGCATGGCCTCCAGCTTTCGGAGGCCCGCGCGGGGGAGGGGGAGGGGGAGGGGGAGGGGGAGGAGGAGGAGGAGGAGGAGGAGGAGGAGGAGGAGGAGGAGTGGAGGAGGAGGAGGAGGAGGAGGAGGAGGAGGAGGCGGTGGAGGAGGAGGAGGAGGAGGCGGAGGCGGAGGCTGGGCCACCCTCTCCCCGCACCTCTCTCTCCTGTGCGCGGGGCGCGCCAGGGGGCGCCGGGCGTGGGGAGAGGCTCCGCCGCCGACCCCAGAGACGAACGGCGCGGGCCCCTCCGAACGCCCCTGCTCATGCAGACGCGTTTTGCTCTTCGGGCTGGAGCAGCTTCACGGTGTCCAGCGGGAACAGCGCCGCTTCGGCGACCACGGAGCTCACGAGCCCCGACCGCACCTCCTCTCGGGAGCGGCCAAGAGGGGGGCGTCCAAGAGGGGGGGGGGGCGCAAATCTTTTCCGGCGGCATGTGCGCGGCCGGGGGGAGGGGGCCAGGGACGCAACGAAAGAAGAAGAAGAGGCGCCATGAAATCAGAGGAACTATCATGGCCCACGCCATGATATCCACCCCCCCTAGTCATCACCCCCTCTTTGCTGCTCCCGATCCTCCAGCACCTTCTGGAAGAGGCCCGGGGAAAGGGCCATCGCGCTGCCGGAGGGGGTGCTCCTGTCGCCGGGAGCGGCCCAGACACCAGCCTGCCAAAGCCGAGAAAAAACACTACTGCGGAGGAGGTGGATGAGAAGCGCGAGCTGAAGGACTAACAGGATGGGGATGGGGAGGGGCACAAGGATGGGTATAGAGGGCCAAACATCCCCCCCACAATAACCACCCCGACGAGCGAGACCGTTTAGCAATCGCACCCAAAGAAGGAATCGACGAGGGCAGGGCTGTTCAGTAAACCCCCAGGGCCGCTTAGTAAACGCCAATTATCAGGTCCGGGTGGATTTTTCTTCCCTTCGTAGTAGTGGTGGTACTGGTGGTGGTGGTGGCTGATCGGACGTCTGATAAACTGTGCAGTTGATGTGCTGTGCTCCCTTGTTTGAAGCGCTGTTGCGTGACTTGAATCTATTGCATGATGAATGCGTTCGCTTGCTTGGTGTGCGAAAGTGGTACGTAAGCGAAAGCGGCGATAGAGGAGGAGGAGGAGGAGGAAGAGGAGGAGGAGGAGGAGGAGGAGGAGGAGGAGGAGGAGGAGGAGGACGATAAGGATGCGTACACGAGTGAAAAGGAGAGGACCAGTCGGAGACACCATCTACAAAGCCATTGAAACCCAGTTGCGAAACCAATCCAAATGAGACTCACCGTTGTGAGGGCTCCCAACAACTCGTCGTGCAGCTTAGTCGGCGTGGAACCCATCGGACTGGGGCCCCAAACAAGTTGAAACCCCATTCACCAGCAATAGCACTACCAGTTCAATTCCAACTCACCCCTGTGAGGGGCCCCCGAAACAGAAGACCCAATCATTCTGCAACCTGGTCGGCACGGGCTGCCTGGACATTAGGCCCACTAAGTTTCACACTGCTTTGCTCAGACCCCAACCTTGACGAACGAGCAACACACACACCCATACCCGTAAGTGGGTCGTTGGGAGGAGGACTGGCTATGGGTATGGGTGCGGGTTGTCGGGCCCTGGGGAACGCTCCCGTTCGAGCGGGGACCCCCATCCGACAACACGCACCCATAGCCCTCTCGGACCCCTCTATGGGTATGGGTGTGTGTTGTTGGTTCGTCGAACCTGTGCTTGCACGTCACGAGCTTCACTTCTGTTGGGTCGCATGTGGGTGGCCGTGGCGAAGCTTCGCCTGGTGCCCACCCGTGGCCGCCCGCGGGCGCCTGGTGCGCTGCTGGGGGGGCTGGGGAGGGGGCGAGGTGCCGCCTGGTGCCCTCCCGTGGGCGCCTCGTGGGCGCCTCGTGCGTTGGGTGGGTGCGGCGCACGCCTCGCCCGGTGCCCCGCCTCGTGGCCACCCGTGGGCTCCTCGTGGCACCACGTGGCTTGCACTGCGCAGCGCTTGCCACATCTGTCGCACCACATCGCCTGCACCACGTAGCTTGCACCGCACCGCTTGCACCAGGCAGCTTGGAACCCACAGCTTACTTCACATGGGTTGCACCGCACAGTTTGTACCATCGAGCATACACCACACAACTTGCACCGCACGCTCGCGCCACGCAACTTGCACCGCATAGCTTGCGCCTCATAGCATGCACTGAACACATTGCACCACATGGCTTGCACCACATAGATTGCGCCACACAGCATGCACCACGTAGCTTGTACACCGACAGTGCGCCAAACCTTCTGCTTGCGGCGTACGCTGGTAAGATATCCTCTGGGCAGCCACCGCAGGGACGCGTTCTTCAAGCAGTGCTTGCGCTGGGGCTTCCTCCTCCTCCTCCTCCTCCTCCTCCTCCTCCTCCTCCTCCTCCCCCTCCTCCTCCTCCTCCTCCATCCTCCTCCTCCTCCCTCCTCCCTCCTCCTCCACCTCCTCCCCCTCCTCCTCCTCCTCTTCCTCCTCCTCCTCCCCTCCCCCTCCTCCTCCTCCTCCTCCCTCCTCCTCCTCCTCCTCCTCATCCTCCTCCTCCTCCTCCCTCCTTCCCCTCCCCTCCCCCTCCCCCTCCCCTCCCCCTCCCCTCCTCCTCCTCCTCCTCCTCCTCCCTCCTCCTCCTCCTCCTCCTCCTCCTCCTCCTCCTCCTCCTCCTCCTCCTCCTGGGCGGCCGTGGGCGCCTGGTGGGCGCACCGTGCGCTGGCTGGGCGGGCCGAAGCGCCATCCCTGAGGGGGCTGCGGGTTGCGAAGCTGTCGCCGCGTTCGAGATGTGCTGGTGAGGCGCAGCGCGGTGACGTCAAACCCAGCTTGGGACTCGACTTCGCCATCCCAGCGGGGCTGCGAACTGCGCAGAGGTCGCCACCTTCTAGCGCTGCGACGGGGGGGGGCAGCGCAGCGACGTCATACCCCGATCCAAACTAAACCGCGCCATTCCTAGGGGGTGCGAGCTGCGATACTGTCGCCACGTTCGAGGGCTGCTTGGGGGCGCAGCGCAGTGATGTCATACGGCGATTCAGGTTCGACGTTCGAGGGCTGCTTGGTGGCCCGGCGCGGAGGGGGATGATGATGATGATGATGATGATGATGATGATGATGATGATGATGATGATGATGATGATGATGATGATGAGGAGGAGGAGGAGGAGGAGGAGGAGGA